AGTTCCAACACGGATCTTCACGGGACACCAGAAATAGGCTTCACACATTGCACCCATGGGGAATCGAACCCAGGTCTTCGGCTAGACGAGTGAACTCTTTAACCGCTTGTCTACCCCACCCCTACAAAATACCGGATACCTACCAGCCATTTTGTTTAGTGTCACGTCACCCTAAACCTAAAACTTACCCTAAACAAAAGTAAACTAGCGTGCTTTCAAAGATGGCCCAAGGTATCCGGCATTCTGTAAAAAATAATCTTACCGAAATTTGAATTTGACAGCGGAAGAAGAAAGTTTTGACAGGACCACCTGGGAAACAGACAAAAGAAGCTTATATCCAAATATTCTCAGTTTGTTCCACGTCTTCCTTAGACTCTTCTATTATGTTTTTCATTAGGATAAGGAGAGCAAACGGTAACGGAAGTGTGGGCAAGCGCTTCGAGCTGACCTAAAGCGATTCTGATATTGCAACGCAACTGTTCTGGTGAGTTCAAACGGGAAGAGGTATCATCTATATACACCTCCTTTTTTCAAGAAACTGACACGACCTCAGCCATTGGCGGGTCATGGGCATTTTCTGTAACACACAACACATTTTGTAGTCTTACCAGCGGTAATCATGCGGCTTTGTCAACACGATGCCACATATGACAAAAACAAAGATGACAGTGTCCCTTGTAGCATACACAAAATCGGTGGGATAGTCTAACCGGGGTTATCTCCCTTACTGTAGGTTATACAGAAACACCTCCGTGGAAATTGACTCCAGATGACCAGGTTAAAAATTTAATAATAGGATATTTTTCCAAATGAATTTGTTTAAATCTAAATATATGGTATTGAAAGATAGTTCAGAAAACACACGTTTATTAAAAATGACAAGGCTAGTGGTCATCGCCTGTGTTCTACCTAGAGTAAAACATTGTTTCACTGCAAATTACCATAATTATGTTGGTAAATATTCTTGTTGTCATTTGAGAAATGATAAACTTGCATGGAGTCTGCTTGTTCATGTACTTGTACATGGTACATGTAACTTAGCAAGCGCTTGGATATGAATACTGATCCTTCTCTTAAGGATGCATGATATCGAACCTGTTAAGTGAATGACTGAGTGAGTTTAGCTTTACGCTGCACTCAGCAGTATTCCAACTATAATGGCGGCGGTCTGTAAATAACCGTGCCCGGACAAGACAATCCAGTGATCAACAGCATAAGCATCGCACAACACAATTGGGATACGATAACATATAATGACAACCCGATCCTGTTAGTCGCCTCTTACGACAAGCATGTGTTACTGAAGATCAATATTCTAACCCGGACCTTCACGGGTTCGACCTGTCAAGATCCGGGTTATAATATTGATCTTCAGTAACATGCTTGTCGTAAGAGGCGACTAACGGGATCGGTGGTCAAACTCGCTGACTTGGTTGACACATGTCATCGGTTCCCCATTGCGCAGATCGATGCTCATGCTGTTGATCACTGGATTGTCAGGTCCAGACTCAATTATTTACAGACCGCCGCCATATAGCTGGAATATTGCTGAGTACGGCGTAAAACTAAACTCACTCACAGGTCGACCATGTTTTAACGGTACATTATAACGAACCTGCTAAGTTATCATTATCAAAATTTAGGAAATAATTGCAGTCACCAGCATTTTCTACTTTCTACCCTGGACATGAATCAATTTAGATCAGACAGATAACTAATTGTGTAATAGTATTAGGGACCTAACGGTGCACGGTTCGCTCTGGATCGATCTCTGTTGCATTGAAGCAAGTGTAATCAGGCTGAAACCGTCAACGTTGTATTTTGTTGTCAATTTGAAATATAAATGAGCCAACATAAAAGAGATTGTAACTGCAAGGGAAAGTGCCGAAGTTTAGTCAGAACAAAACTGTAGACAGAAAATTAGTATCCGGTTGGAAAAGTCATGTGACTTTAACCTTTTAAGCGCCTATAACCTTCTGACAGGCAGCTTGGCTTATCCGGGGTAATAATAATCAGATTCTGATAAAGCGCCGCGAGCAATCACGCGGTGTTTGGAGACTGTGCGCTATAGAAGATGACTCAATATTTTATTAAAAATACAGAATGACCAATGCTCACCCACGGACCCGATAGGCACACGTTAATAGTGCAGCCCTTTAAATTGTAATCAACACCCCAAATAAATAAAAAATAAAAAAAAGATTAAAAAAAAAATAATAATAAAAAAATATCTCTCTCCATGGCTAACAGAAGAACTCATTAGAGAATTGCTGCATAACGGTATTGTCCTGCTGGAACAAAGGGCCTGTGTATCCAAACAGGTCAATCATGAATGTAGACTCACCCGACCGGCATTGCGACTTTGTGGCAGACAAACATCTAATTTACCCCCCCCCAAAGACAGTGGCTCCCAAGACGGTTACATTCAATACCAAACCCATATACCAAATTAAACTATGAATGCACAATGCCAGGGCGTGGTCAAATGTATCACATGTTATATTTGGGATAACACCTTCTTCGTAAAGTACAGATTCAAAGTACTATTTTTGGGTTGAGTCCTGTCATGGTTTTCGGCCCTGGGAGCCGTGCCAATTTACACTCATCAGCAGGGTACAGAGGTCCGTGATCAACACTACCTTTTCTTGGACTGACTGACTGACTAAGTTTGGTTTTACGCCGCTTTTAGCAATATTCCAGCAACATCACGGCGGGGGACACCAGAAATGGGCTTCACACATTGTACCCATGTGGGGATTCGAACCCGGGTCTTCGGCGTGACGACCCAACGCTTTAACCACTAGGCTACCCCACCTTTTCTTAGAAGCCGCAGTGGCTGAATGGGGTGGGTGAGTGAGTATGGTTTTACGACACATTTAGCAATATCACGGCGGGGACACCAGAACAAGCGGACGCATTAACCACTAGGCTACCCCACCGCCCCAGTTGTCCGACTTCCATTTTTTGTGGAAGCTGCGCTGGCTGAGTAGGTTAGATTGCTGACTTTGTGTGCTGGCGATTAGGTGCCTGACTCTGTTGAGTGTGGGTTCGAATCCTGGACGGGACTCAACTAGGGCTGCGCAATAAAACCGGTTTACCGGTATTTACCGGTTCAGACATGAAAACGATATGTATTGCGATACGCTAAATCGAAAACCGGTATTTTAACATGCATTCGGAAAACTTCGTAACACTCGGAAACCTTCGTATAGTTCCGATTTTCACTCCGGAAATCATGTTGTAAAATGATAATGGTGATGGTGATGGTGATTATGATGATGATTAATGATGATTTTGGTAAGGTGTGGTGCTGATGCTGATGAAGATGTTCATGATTGATCGTGGTGAAAATCATATTTAACTGCATGGATTGTTGTTCGGTTTGAAGTTGTGTTCTGAATTTTAAGTGTTTCGCAATGTTTTGGATCTGAATGTTTCAATATTTACTCATTAATGACCAGTGATCTCTGATATAGCCTGACCAGGTCCAGCTGCTGTCTAAAATCTCAGGGCGTTTTTAGAGAGTGGAGAAACAAGTTCAAACTAGTAACCACTGTGTTGGTGTTAATTGTTCTTTTCCTTGCTTCATTTGTGCCAAATGCATGTATTATTTACATTTTTATTTTGTCATGATCAAAATTTTTGATTAAAGCTTAATCAAGCATAGTGATTTTGTTGTGTTTTTGCTTTATAAATCAATCATTAACTCAATTATAAGTAGTCTTTTGTGAAAAAAACAACTGCTCACAATATATTGCAATACATATCGCAATATATGCTTTGGCATCCCAATATATCGCAAGCGGCGGTGGGGGTAGCCTGTATTAAAGCGTTGGCTCGTCACGCCGAAGACCCGGGTTCGATTCCCCACATAGGTACAGTGTGTGAAACCCATTTCTGGTGTCCCCCGCCGTGATGTTGCTGGAATATTGCTAAAAGCGGCGTAAAACTAAATTCACTCACTCAATATATCGCAATATGAAAATTCTCAGCAATACCCACCCCTAGACTCAACCCAACCCAACTCCTGGCATCAGTACTGTCTCTGTATAAATAGCAAAACAGCGGTGGATATTACAGAATTGAACCAATGGAAATCAGTTAACCCCTTTTAATGAACGACATTATGGGTAATATCGTCCTTTCTGGATTTATCGCTCTATGGCTTCATCGTCTCCATCTCTACCGCTTTCTAGCTCCGTTGTATCACGTTGTTATACCGTTTTCTCCTCTGGCCGTATCGCTTTCTTGTCTTCACTTCTGGTCTCGCGTTATCTTATCGCGGTCGTATCTTAAGGCGAACACGCCACGCCCTCTCTCGGCCTCCATAAATATCACGTTAGTCTGTCATACAGACCCTGAAGCAAACATATCCAAGAAAGCCCACGCAAGTCTAGAAAATGTGGCACGTCTAGATTTCTAAAGCTTCAGCTGAAAATTAAGAAAGTCTCAGGGATCCTTTTCATTATATTATATATTGTTTTTACTGTGAACTTACTTTCTGTAAAATGTGTTCATTTCAGAGACTAGTTGTTAGTCTAATATCACATTGAAGAGAGAGGCAGCATCACCACACACACGCATAATCAGTTGGCAAAATGTCAAGAATATGTAAAATTCCGGTTCGTTCTAACCCAAGGGTAAGTCAGCGACGGAGAATCAACGAGCACGTTCAACAAGGAAAATTAAATACAGATCCCCAGGCTTACATGGTTTCCAAACCACGTTTGAGAGCGTCGTGCAATGTATATAGTCTGTATCCCGGCCCATGAAGCCCTTCATTTCCGACTACGGAGAGCACTACTGCAATGAATCAGCCTTTGAAGAAACAAGTTTCAGGATGTCTGAATCATCAACCTCAATAGGCCTCCTTTCCGATATAAATAGAATCCTTTGTATTTATCAAAATTGTAAATTTTCAGAAACTAAACGTTTTTTGCGCATGTAGGGTGCAGAGCTGATGCAGACGACAACTACTGCAGACGACAACTACAACCTACCTCAACGATACATAATGCCGCAGACGACTCTCACTGGCGAGCGTGGTGAAATCCTAGACGAAAACACGGACCGAAAACATTCCCCAGCTACATACTCCACGCGCTCCCGTATCCTCTCTCGTCCCCAACCTGAGTCACGTGGTTCGATTCTCAGCAGGCTCGTAATCACAACAGCGTGACTGGATAGGGTTTGGGTTAACGCAGAGACCATATATTATATGGTCTCTGGTTAACGTGACGGCATCCTGCTCTAAATCCTGCAACCGCTGATCCGAATGAATCACATGATAAGTCGTAGTGACAAAGGGTTGCGCTGATTTAAAGGGGCTACTTGAACTAGTCAACTAAGTCATGCTGCCCCACGGGAATACAAGAGATTCTTGCGATTGGTGACTGAGCCGTTCAAGGAGCCCAGGGGCGATGTGGCGGGTGTATGCCTGCCCCTTTGTTCTGCGAGATGTCAGGGCACAGGCAGATGTGATCGGGCTTCAATTGAATATGCACATGCCTGAAATTGTCTCAGGGTAATGCCATGCTAATCTTACCACGCGTCTGTCTATGAATCAATAAACCCTCGCCTGACGTAGAGGCGGGTTATAGTCTGTCTCACAGTCCCTGAACCACATTATATTCCCCGCTGCCGCTGAAGGGGTCGTTGTCGGCACGGGTACTACAGATGTGTACCCCGGGTACGTTTCTGTATTCAAAAACGTACCTGAGCCAAAATACGAATACAGAAACGTACCCAATGACGTGTCCATTCTGCATTGTGCTATTTACTTGATCAGAATGCATTTGACTGCACTATGTAAGAAACGACAATTTACAGTATGGTTTAATTCAATTGAATTCTATATTCTCATACAACACCTTGGTGGTACAAGAGTGAGTGAGTGAGTAAGTATGGTTTAACGCCGCTTTTAGCAATATTCCAGCAATATCACGGCGGGGACACCAGAAATGGGCTTCACACATCGTACCCGTAATGGGGAATCGAACCCGGGTCTTCGGCGTAACGAGCTAACGCTTTAACCACTTGGCTACCCACCACCCTGGTTGTACAAGAGCATATATCATAAACATATACAACAATACAAATTCAAATTCGATATATTCGCGATGCACAATACCACCCGCAACCAGTTGAACAGGAGTGAGTGAGTGAGTTAAAATTTAACGTCACATCGGCAATATTGCAGCCATATCGTGACGAAGTTGAACAGGAACACCGACATAGGGTTCCGGTTTTGGATTGCGGAATAATGGCTTGTCCGACGTTTAGGGTACCGGGTATTTTTCTGTATTTTGACTTTGATGATATTGTTATGTCAGCTGACCTAAAATTAACTGACTTTATTTGAAGCCGCACAATAAACCACACAATCTAGATCTGTGCCCCTTCATGCTTCCACATATCCTTAATTCATTTCGTGATATCACGAATGTTTTTTCAGATATATAAACCAAGGGTTTGTTCTAAGGGATTTTCAAATACAAGGCAAACTTTGGTGTAGAGCTGCTAAAGCCTGATTAAGGTGTATCTTTTCTACTTCTAGGAACAAAAAGTTTACATTCTTTATTCTTTTATGCTTTTGTTCAGGCTGTGTGATTAGTGTAATCCCAAATATAACATACGTTGTATGTATATGCATTTCATACGAATAACCCCATTACAGTAAAGTACGATTGTAACGAACTCACAGGTACCACATTCGTTATAAACGTATTCAAGATATCTTCAATATAGTTCAAGGTATATCTAATCTAATTCAAGATATCTTGAAAACAACTGAAGATATCTGTAATTTTCTTGATACAAGTGAAAAGGCTTGCCGTACGTATCAAATCACGGCCATCAAGTATTCATGTCACGACCAAGACGTATTAAATCACGTCTATCAGGTATCAAATCACGGTAATTGTATCCTGTCTTTGCGAGATGCCTGTTTGTTGAATTTGCCATATGAATCTCGCCACGTAATTCAGATTTTATTTCTATTTTCATTTCTTACACATTTGCTACCGCAAACTGTTGCAAAATACCCATTGAGTTGCGTGAGGTTTCAATTATAAATATAAGCATTGTATCTCAGATGGATACTGTATACCCCCAATAGTCCAGGGTAGTGAGTAAGTGAGTTTATATTTACGCCGCTTTTAGCAATATTCCAGCAATATCACGGCGATGGACACCAGAAATGGGTTTCACACATTGGGGGAATCGAACCCGGGTCTTCGGCGTGACAAGCGGACGTTGTAACCGTTGGGCTACCCCTGGGACAGAGTAGTGCCAACACATATAATGAGTGAGCGAGTGAGTGAGTTGGGTTTACGCCGCTTTTAGCAATATTCCAGCAATATCACGGCGGTGGACACCAGAAATGGGCTTCACACATTGTACCCATATGGGGAATCGAACACGGGCCTTCGGCGTGACAAGCGGACGTTGTAACCGTTGGGCTACCCCACCGCCACTATCTGGGACAAAGTAGTGCCAACACATATAATGAGTGAGTGAGTGAGTTGGGTTTACGCCGCTTTTAGCAATATTCCAGCAATATCACGGCGGGGGACGCCATAAATGGGCTTCACACATTGTACCCATGTGGGGATTCGAACCCGTGTCGTCAGCTTGACGAGCAGATGCTTTAACCATTAGGCTACCCCACCGCCCCTACATATCATGAATTCATATAGCCTTTGGTGCAACCTAATATACGTATCGCAAATGATATATTTGAATTATTCAGTATGCAGAAAGATATAAATAATTCAGAAACATCAATGTAACTATGGAAATAGAAAGACTCAATTTCGTCACTTTATAAACATAGGTATATGCATTTAATACGAATAACCTCATTACAGTAAAGTACGGTTGTAACGAACTCACAGGTACCACATTCGTTATAAACGTATAATACACGATATATGTAATTCGACAGCAAATGGTGGGACCGCAATAAACTTCGTTAGATGCATATATCGTTACTACCACCGGGGAGACTATACAACGTAGTTTAGATCATCCCTGCTACTACGACCCACAACTCATGACCTAGCCTTGCTCCAAGGCTGTACTGAAGGTGGCGGCCCGGGAAAGCGAAATTTCAATATTCCCTATTCCCGGTAAAGCGAAAACCAAAGTCGCGAAAGCGACACCTAAATTGAGGAGGTTTTGTCCAGATTTCGGTTTCCCCAGGCCATAACCGTACTGAAGGCTAAGCCCATGCATGTACAGTAATTCTATCCTTAAAGAGGCATGTCAACATACAAAGGACAAGGACACCAGTCTCTTATTTATATTTTTTTATAGAAATTATCAATTAAACTATCAATTATTATCTTTTAGACTTGTGCAAGTCTATTCATGACCCTAATCATTCCCAGCCACCAAATGGTTTCCTCCCAGGCTTGCGCACGAGTAACAATCCCTAAGCACTTGGGTTTTGCATAGTGACGGAGTATCATATACCCAGTGTTGACATTGACGTTAGATGCGGACAGCTGGGTCGCGCTGTTGATGTCACTCTGAAACCGGTTTGAATTTTTAGTTTCGCTAGCTCGGTCTTTAAATAGCAGCACAGGAAATACACGCTATCTCGGCGAAGGCAATGCGTTTTAACTACAGTGAGACGTGATTATGGAGGGAAGGGAGGAAGGGGCACCCTTTGGTTTTGGGGAAGTAGGGGAGTGGTCATCATCAATCTTGTACAGGTGTTCTAGGGGGTAGTCCATTGATTTTGTACATGACATACAGGGTGGGGTGGGGGGCATTTCTTTTGTACATAAATTTGGGGGCATTCACATTGTACATGCAACTCCATGAAAATCAACATCAAACCTCAAACCCACACACACACACCCCGATTATGAACGGCCCCTAACAACAGCAACAGCAATAATCACCCGCTCTATCTTTGTCGCTTTTATTTATTGTGGTCTGTAAATAATAATAATGATAATTCTTTATCCTCCAATATTTCCGCCAGATCAACCGTATGACGCTGGAAGATACGGGGCATAATATTTGAGTCTTCAAAATTTCTAAAATATATGTAACGATATATGTAATTATTGTAATCGTTCAGTTCCATGGAATACGTGTACGATTTCGTGACAACAGTGAATTGACACGAAATATTATCGCACATGTCGTTGCTGTAAATGGGGTGCTTGTCATTCTTTATGTCTTTCATTTGTGTATGTCTTTCATGTCTCGAAACTGCTTAAATAATGTCACTATTCTCGTTATATTAGCGAAAACTTTAATCTAAAATTGGGGAAAATGCTAAGAAAACATCTAAATCCGTTCTTGGGTTTTCAATTTTAATACGTTTCAAATAACATGGGCGGATCGATGAATTTTGAAAGCCAACGCAAATAAAATCTTCAGTGTGGTCTTAAGTCATTTTCAAGGGGTTCGACACCCACCCACACACACACACACACACACACACACACACACACCAACTCGGATCCGCCAATGAATAACCATTTAGTGTCTCGCGAGCAGTAAAGCGCCAGCGCAGGATACCCAGGGAACCAGGCTAGTAAGTGAAAGCCCAAGTTTGAGACAATCCCTCTGACGTCAGCACGCTCGATAGAGGTAACAAGGTTATGTTTAAACGGACAGTCAAGTTACGATCAACCGCTGTGGCCCATCAGGGTGATGGACTGTTGATACTTGTAGTTGTACCAAACGCTTCACTTCTTTGTACAAGTCGGTGGGGTAATGGATCTTTAACATATATCGTACCTGATGTGAAATCCCATGACGAACACGGTGATGTTTCAAAGTTCACAAACTTACCTGGGGCGGGAGCCGCGTTGACTGGACCAGGTGGCCAGTCAGCAGATGTTTCCGGGCGACAAGATCGCTGGCAAAGGAAATTCGATCGCCACCCTCAGCACGGACATCGTGCGCCTAGAGCTTCCCCTTCCCAATGTTCCTGTGCCCGCTCGTGATAACCGACTACCGGCTCGGCAGAATCATTCCGGTTTGGTGTAAGCGAGGCAATATTACACCACCCTTCCTGAACCAGTTAATGTCAATCCGGAACCGGTTTGAATCATTTGTTTCAACAGCGGTGTCACTATCAGAGAAGGAACTGTGCCCTTTCACGCCGAAGCAAG